ACACAGCACTTTACATATATATATTGTCAGGGGCGGACTGACCATTTGGAAACTTGGGCACTGCCCAAGGGCCCGGGGTCAGTTTCCCCATGAGATGCCCTAGTACCTTTTCATAGGCTTTTTTGAGTTTGGGCAAGAACACATGGGGCCCCATGAGTTGTCAGTCTGCCCCTGTATATTGTACATTCACATCAGTCCCCGCCCCCGAGGAGTGTACAATCTAAGGTCCCTAACTCACATTCATACATATAATAGAGCCAATTTACCTCCTAGCATGTCATTGGAGTGTGGGAATATCTTTTTATTTTCTACTCCATTCTTTTTTATTCTATTCTGTTTTTTTCTTTTTTTATTTTTTCTGTTCTAATTCTTTATTTTCTATTCCATTTATTAGCGCCGTCAATTTACGCCGCACTTTACATATATATTGTACATTCACCTCAGTACCCCCCGCCCCCGAGGAGCGTACAATCTAAGGTCCCTAACTCACATTCATACATACACATACTAGGGACAATGTAGACAGGAGCCAATTATCGTCCCAGCATGTCTTTGGCATGTGAGAGGATCCTTTATTTTCTATTTATTACAGGTATATAGCGCCATCGATGTACACAGCACTTTACACATATATATTGTCAGGTGGGCAGACACTTAGCCCATTTGGAAAACTCTGGCACTGCATAAAAGGCTCAGGGTCAGTAGGGGGCCCCATGAGATGCCCCTAATACTTTTTTCAAGGCTTTTTTGACGTTTTGGGTAAGGACACAGGGGCCCCCATGATCCCCTATTGCCAGAAAGAAGGCGAGGGGGCCCCATGAGTTGTCAGTCTGCCCCTGTATATTGTACATTCACATCAGTCGACCCCCAGCCCCCTGAGGAGTGTACAATCTAAGCTCCCTAACTCACATTCATACATATAATAGAGCCAATTTACCCCCTAGCATGTCATTGGAGTGTGGGAATATCCTTTATTTTCTATTCTATTCCATTCTTTTATTCTATTCTGTTTTTTTTTCTGTTACAATTCCTTATTTTCTATTTATTTATGACAGCACCATCAATTTACTCCGCGCTTTACATATATATTGTACATTCACATCAGTCCCCGAGAGCCCCCGAGTAGCGTACAATCTAAGGCCTGACACCCTAACTCACATTCATACATACTAGGGACAATTTAGACAGGAGCCAATTCACCACCACCAGCATGTCTTTGGAGTGTGGGAGGAAACTGGAGTACCCGAGGAAACCCACACAGGCACAGGGAGAACATGCAAACTCCAGGCAGGTGGTGTTGTGGTTGGGATTTGAACCAACGACCCGAGTACTGCCAGGTGGGAGCGCTAACCACTTAGCCGCTGTGCTTGTTGATATGTAGAACAACATAAGGAGAGGTGCTCATAAATCAATGAAATATATGGAGGAACGTTATGTGCTCCTGTGTACCGGGAAATATGAACGCAGAAATAATTTCTGTAATTCCTGTTTTCCCATACATGTCATCTGAATGTAAACCCAAATCCAAATCCCAGCAAAGCACAACCATTTACTCTACCAGCTCTTACAGAAAGAAGGCGAGGTAGCTCCTGACCTGTCCCCAGGGGTGTATTTAGGTTTTGTGCTGCCCTAGGCAACACAAAAATTGGATGCCCCTCCCTGGCGGAGAGAGCCTGACACCGACCACCACCAGACCCCTCTTCCCTATGGAGAGAGCCTGACACCGACCACCACCAGACCCCTCTTCCCTATGGAGAGAGCCTGACACCGACCACCACCAGACCCCTCTTCCCTATGGAGAGAGCCTGACACCGAACCACCACCAGACCCCTCTTCCCTATGGGAGAGAGCCTGACACCGACCACCACCAGACCCCTCTTCCCTATGGAGAGAGCCTGACACCGACCACCACCAGACCCCTCTTCCCTATGGAGAGAGCCTGACACCGACCACCACCAGACCCCTCTTCCCTATGGAGAGAGCCTGACACCGACCACCACCAGACCCCTCTTCCCCTATGGAGAGAGCCTGACACCGACCACCACCAGACCCCTCTTCCCTATGGAGAGAGCCTGACACCGACCACCACCAGACCCCTTCTTCCCTATGGAGAGAGCCTGACACCGACAACCGCCAGACCCTTCTTCCCTATGGAGAGAGCCTGACACCGACCACCACCAGACCCCTCTTCCCTATGGAGAGAGCCTGACACCGACCACCACCAGACCCCTCTTCCCTATGGAGAGAGCCTGACACCGACCACCACCAGACCCCTCTTCCCTATGGAGAGAGCCTGACACCGACCACCACCAGACCCCTCTTCCCTATGGAGAGAGCCTGACACCTACCACCACCAGACCCCTCTTCCCTATGGAGAGAGCCTGACACCGACCACCACCAGACCCCTCTTCCCTATGGAGAGAGCCTGACACCGACCACCACCACCCCTTCTTCCCTATGGAGAGAGCCTGACACCGACCACCACCAGACCCCTCTTCCCTATGGTGAGAGCCTGACACACCGACCACCACCAGACCCCTCTTCCCTATGGAGAGAGCCTGACACCGACCACCACCAGACCCCTCTTCCCTATGGAGAGAGCCTGACACCGACCACCACCAGACCCCTCTTCCCTATGGAGAGCCTGACACCTACCACCACCAGACCCCTCTTCCCTATGGAGAGAGCCTGACACCGACCACCACCAGACCCCTCTTCCCTATGGAGAGAGCCTGACACCTACCACCCACCAGACCCCTCTTCCCTATGGAGAGAGCCTGACACCGACCACCACCAGACCCCTCTTCCCTATGGAGAGAGCCTGACACCGACCACCACCAGACCCCTCTTCCCTATGGAGAGAGCCTGACACCTACCACCACCAGACCCCTCTTCCCTATGGAGAGAGCCTGACACCGACCACCACCAGACCCCTCTTCCCTATGGAGAGAGCCTGACACCGACCACCACCAGACCCCTCTTCCCTATGGAGAGAGCCTGACACCGACCACCACCAGCCCCCTCTTCCCTATGGAGAGAGCCTGACACCGACCACCACCAGACCCCTCTTCCCTATGGAGAGAGCCTGACACCGACCACCACCAAACCCCTCTTCCCTATGGAGAGAGCCTGACACCGACCACCACCAGACCCCTCTTCCCTATGGAGAGAGCCTGACACCGACCACCACCAGACCCCCTCTTCCCTATGGAGAGAGCCTGACAGCGACCAACACCAGACCCCTCTTCCCTATGGAGAGAGCCTGACACCGACCACCACCAGACCCCTCTTCCCTATGGAGAGCCTAACACTGACCACCACCAGACCCCTCTCCCTATGGAGAGAGCCTGACCCACCGACCACCACCAGACCCCTCTTCCCTATGGAGAGATACCCCCCCCACCGGCGATAGAGAGAAAGACACTCACCTTCACAGCTCTAGGCATCCCCGGGAATGGCTTCTGCATCCACCATCAAGCAGCCCACAGCCACATGGTCCCCATGCCGCATATGTCCCTTCTTCTGGGGTGAGGTGCTGCCCCCCTAAAAAAATGCCGCCCTAGGCAAATTCCTTGTTTGCCTTGTGGTAAATACACCCCTCCCTGTCCCACAGAGGCTGAAATCATCCCGGATTTAAGAAGATAGTTACATAGTCACAGAGTTCAATAGTTAGTCTGGCTGAAAAAAGACAAAAGTCCATCCAGTTCAACCATTAAAAAAAATAAAAGTTATGATCCTACACCCACAGTTGATCCAGAGGAAGGCAAAAAAACCCAGCAAAGCACGATCCAATCTGCTCCTGCAGGGAAAAAATTCCTTCCTGATCCCCCCGAGAGGCAATCGGATATTCCCGGGATCAATATTCAGATATTCCCGGGATCACCTTTCCCTATAAATGTTATATCCAGTTATATTCTGTGTATCCAAGAAAGGATCCAGGACTTTCCTACAGCAATCCACTGAGCTGGCCACACCCACCTCTGGAGGGAGTCTATTCCACATTCTCACAGCTCTTACTGTGAAGAAACCTTTCCGTGTTTGGAGATGACATTTCTTTAGTTGAAGAAAGTGCAAAAATATCACTGGACCCGTAAGGTTCTCCTATTTGGCACTTTTTGCTTACGAGTATAAATAAGTATTTTTGCTAGAAAATTACTTATAGCTCCCAAACATTTTATTTATTTATACATATATATATATATATATATATATATAAATAATTTTTGTACTTTAACCTCTTCGCGCCGGCTGCACACAAATGTGCGCCCCCCCCCCAGCGTCTGAGCCTAGACACCGAGCGGCCACACATTTGCGTGCAATTAACAAAAAACATATGTGCTGACCCTGAGCTCCCAGCGCACACCCTGCATGCATGCTCCCAGAACGTCTGGTACTCACGGAAAGGTCCTGGTCTGCTCTTTTGATCAGGACCTTTCCTGATCATGTGACCGGCGTGATGACGTGTCACATGATCCCTAAACCCCACCCCACCCCGCCGCCCTCACCCGCCTCCCAGCTTCTGAAACTCTTAAAGGCTGGGAGGCACCGGCAGAGGGGGTTAATGAACTGAAAAAAAAAAAAAAACAACAATATATAACCCAATTTTTTTGTAAAGTATGAAAGAGTAAATGCTAACATGTCATGCTTTAGTCCCCATGTACACGGGACACTTCTGAACGATGGAAACTGCTGGAAAATGTAGGTTAAAAACCGTCTGTTTAGCCGCGTTTGCATAACACGTTTATGTGCGTTTGCGTTTAAAAGCGTTTTTTTTAAAGATAAGTACAGGAGAACCTCCCAAATGCCCAGAATGCACTGAAAAGTGGTAAATTATGAACAATTTCAGACTGTTTCAGAGAAATACAGAGAGTAGAAGCAGAGACAGCAGTATGTGTTGAGATTAGCTGAGGTGTGAGTTGCTCATTAACATTTCTTTTGTTTCCAAGGGTGGGAAAGGTGTCAGGTGGGGGGAGTCATTAAGGCCACCTGGCAGGGGGTCTTCATGAGGAAGTTGAGGTGTGAATGGTCATTAACATATCTTTTGTTTGCAAGGGTGGGAGAGGTCTGAGGTGTGATTGGTCATTAACATATCTTTTGTTTCCAAGGGTGGGAGAGGTCTGAGGTGAATGGTCATTAACATATCTTTTGTTTCCAAGGGTGGGAGAGGTCTGAGGTGTGAATTGGTCATTAACATATCTTTTGTTTCCAAGGGTGGAGAGGTCTGAGGTGTGAATAGTCATTAACATATCTTTTGTTTCCAAGGGTGGGAGAGGTCTGAGGTGTGAATGGTCATTAACATATCTTTTGTTTTCAAGGGCGGGAGAGGTCTGAGGTGTGAATGGTCATTAACATATCTTTAGTTTCCAAGGGCGGGAGAGGTCTGAGGTGTGAATGGTCATTAACATATCTTTTGTTTCCAAGGTTGGGAGAGGTCTGAGGTGTGAATGGTCATTAACATATCTTTTGTTTCCAAGGTTGGGAGAGGTCTGAGGTGTGAATGGTCATTAACATATCTTTTGTTTCCAAGGGTGGGAGAGGTCTGAGGTGTGAATGGTCATTAACATATCTTTTGTTTTGGAGAGGTCCAAGGGTGGAGAGGTCTGAGGTGTGAATGGTCATTAACATATCTTTTGTTTCCAAGGGTGGGAGAGGTCTGAGGTGTGAATGGTCATTAACATATCTTTTGTTTTCAAGGGCGGGAGAGGTCTGAGGTGTGAATGGTCATTAACATATCTTTTGTTTCCAAGGGCGGGAGAGGTCTGAGGTGTGAATGGTCATTAACATATCTTTTGTTTCCAAGGTTGGGAGAGGTCTGAGGTGTGAATGGTCATTAACATATCTTTTGTTTCCAAGGGTGGGAGAGGTCTGAGGTGTGAATTGGTCATTAACATATCTTTTGTTTCCAAGGGTGGGAGAGGTCTGAGGTGTGAATGGTCATTAACAATATCTTTTGTTTTCATAAGGGCGGGAGAGGTCTGAGGTGTGAATGGTCATTAACATATCTTTTGTTTCCAAGGGCGGGAGAGGTCTGACGTGTGAATGGTCATTAACATATCTTTTGTTTCCAAGGGTGGGAGAGGTCTGAGGTGTGAATGGTCATTAACATATCTTTTGTTTCCAAGGGTGGGAGAGGTCTGAGGTGTGAATGGTCATTAACATATCTTTTGTTTCCAAAGGTGGGAGAGGTCTGAGGTGTGAATTGGTCATTAACATATCTTTTGTTTACAAAGGTGGGAGAGGTCTGAGGTGTGAATTGGTCATTACAATGTGTGACAAGCTTGGTAGGAACATCCTGTGTTCAGTGTTTTATCCATTTGAGTACCTTGAAAACACTTTTTCATGATGAAAAAAGGCTCTGGACAGCATAGGGAACTGGAAGAGTTAAAAAAAATTTCAAACACTTGTAAACGCGGCAAATCGTTTTGCATTTGAAACGCTGATAAAATCTACTACTGAGTTTTCTGCGTTCAAAAAAACGACTGTAAACTCAAATGCCTGTAAAGGACTGTAAACGAAGATGTGTACACGGACACATAGGAGGACATTAGGGGGGGAGTTCAGGGGCTGCTGAAAACAACGCAGAACATCTCCTAAACGCGAGTTTATCATCCGCACTGTACATGAGCCCTTAAAATTGCGCACGCTCGTGGAATGGCGACAAACTACGATACTTAAAAATCTCCATAGATGACGCTTTACAAATGTTTACAGGTTACATGTGTAGAGTCACAGAGGAGGTGTGGCGCTAGAATTACTGCTCTCACGCCAACGTTCATGGCGATACCTCACCGTTTACATATACATGCGCGACTTAGATATCAACGGGGGGGGGGGGCACTTTAAAAATCTTTTTTTTTTCTTTTTTTTACATTGTTCCTTTATTTTATTTTTGATCACTTTTATTCCTATTTTTTTAATTCTTTTATTTGCTTTCCCCACGTGAGGAATTGCTGCGAATGTCTGAGTTCTACCCCCAGACCTCCTGTGTAGCTCTAAACTGGTAACCCGGAAAGCGTCGCCTATGGAGACTTCTAGGTACCGTAGTTTGGCGCAGTTCCACAGGCGTGACATGTGCGGTATTGATTTACTCGGCATGACATCATCATTTCTATTTTACCGATAATTCAGTATCATATTGTTTTCTGCATCAAAGTTCATTCAATTGTATTATTTAAAAAAATGCGTTTGATAAACCATTGTGCAGATATCATATGACGTAAACATACGCAACATCCACCATTTTATTCTCTGGGGCCTCGGCTTAAAAACAAATATAATGTTTTGGGGTTATAAGTCATTTTCTAGCCAAAAAAAGTGTCAGAATGGGCGTGGTCTTCATGTGGTTAAAGGATACGTTCGCCTTTGGAACATGTTACATTCCCATAGCTGCAGCAGCGCCCACCACCGCCCCCCCCCCATCCTCTGACAGATAGTATGGGGAGAAGTTTCCCCGTTCTATGTCAGATTCGAAAACCGCGTGGCTGTGCTGGGCTCCTCCCACATGGCCGCTTCACTTATTCACAGAGTTCTGTGAATGAGTGCCTACAAGTCCCAGAAGCCTTAGCAGCTGTCGGCTTGTAGTTTTCAATGAACTAACATGGTGGCGCTGTGGAGCTCTGTGGTAGTTCATTGAATCTCCCTGTCAGAATATCTGCTTGTCTGTACATCCCGTAGATCCCATATATTCCATACATCCCCATACACCCCATACATCCCGTAGATCCCATACATCCCTGTACACCCCATGCATCCCGTACACCCCACACCCATGCATCCCGTACACACCCATGCATCCCGTACACCCCATGCATCCCGTACACCCCATGCATCCCGTACACTCCATACATCCCGTACACTCCATACATCCCGTACACCCCATACATCCCGTAGATCCCATACATCCCTGTACACCCCATGCATCCCGTACACCCCATGCATCCCGTACACCCCATGCATCCCGTACACCCCATGCATCCCGTACACCCCATACATCCCGTACACTCCATACATCCCGTACACCCCATGCATCCCGTACACTCCACACAACCTGTACACTCCATACATCCCATACACTCCATGCATCCCGTACACCCCATACATCCCGTACACTCCACACAACCTGTACACTCCATACATCCCATACACTCCATACATCCCGTACACCCCATGCATCCCGTACACTCCACACAACCTGTACACTCCATACATCCCATACACTCCATGCATCCCATACACCCCATACATCCCGTACACCCCATACATCCCGTACACTCCACACAACCTGTACACTCCATGCATCCCGTACACCCCATACATCCCGTACACTCCACACAACCTGTACACTCCATACATCCCATACACTCCATGCATTCCGTACACCCCATACATCCCGTACACTCCACACAACCTGTACACTCCATACATCCCATACACTCCATGCATCCCATACACTCCATGCATCCCGTACACCCCATACATCCCATACACTCCATGCATCCCGTACACCCCATACATCCCGTACACTCCACACACAACCTGTACACTCCATGCATCCCGTACACCCCATACATCCCGTACACTCCACACAACCTGTACACTCTATACATCCCATACACTCCATGCATCCCGTACACACCCCATACACCAAGCAGACATTCTGATAGGTGTGCAGGAGACCTGCATGGTATCAGCGATCTACTGATCACAGGTGCAATGCTTTCCAGACTCCTTTGTACAAAAATAATAAATGCACATTTTGTTTACCTGCAAAAAAATGTGCATTTATTATTTTTCTCCAAAAAGTGAACTCCTCCTTTAAGGCTGTACTTAAAACTGTTAGTTTACTTGTTGCGCTAAATTCCTTTCCTCCAGTATATCTGTCAGCACTAACAATATCTTTGTTTCTTTCTCCACCACCCCATTCTTTTAACATCTCCCTCTTTCCTTCATTTCACCCAAACATCTCCGAATCCCCCTTTCCTTCGTGTCACCCAAACATCTCCGAATCCCCCCTTCCTTCGTGTCACCCAAACATCTCCGAATCCCCCTTACCTTCGTGTCACCCAAACATCTCCGAATCCCCCTTTCCTTCGTGTCACCCAAACATCTCCGAATCCCCCCTTCCTTCGTGTCACCCAAACATCTCCGAATCCCCCTTTCCTTCGTGTCACCCAAACATCTCCGAATCCCCCTTTCCTTCGTGTCACCCAAAACATCTCCGAATCCCCCTTTCCTTCGTGTCACCCAAACATCTCCGAATCCCCCCTTCCTTCGTGTCACCCAAACATCTCCGAATCCCCCTTTCCTTCATGTCACCCAAACATCTCCGAATCCCCCCTTCCTTCGTGTCACCCAAACATCTCCGAATCCCCCCTTCCTTCGTGTCACCCAAACATCTCCGAATCCCCCCTTCCTTCGTGTCACCCAAACATCTCCGAATCCCCCCTTCCTTCGTGTCACCCAAACATCTCCAAATCCCCCCTTCCTTCGTGTCACCCAAACATCTCCGAATCCCCCTTCCTTCGTGTCACCCAAACATCTCCGAATCCCCCTTTCCTTCATGTCACCCAAACATCTCCAAATCCCCCTTCCTTCGTGTCACCCAAACATCTCCGAATCCCCCTTTCCTTCATGTCACACCCAAACATCTCCGAATCCCCCCTTCCTTCGTGTCACCCAAACATCTCCGTATCCCCCTTTCCTTCATGTCACCCAAACATCTCCGAATCCCCCCTTCCTTCGTGTCACCCAAACATCTCCGAATCCCCCTTCCTTCGTGTCACCCAAAACATCTCCGAATCCCCCTTTCCTTCGTGTCACCCAAACATCTCCGAATCCCCCCTTCCTTTGTGTCACCCAAACATCTCCGAATCCCCCTTTCCTTCGTGTCACCCAAACATCTCCGAATCCCCCCTTCCTTTGTGTCACCCAAACATCTCCGAATCCCCCTTTCCTTCATGTCACCCAAACATCTCCGAATCCCCCCTTCCTTCGTGTCACCCAAACATCTCCGAATCCCCCTTTCCTTCATGTCACCCAAACATCTCCGAATCCCCCCTTCCTTCGTGTCACCCAAACATCTCCGAATCCCCCTTTCCTTCATGTCACCCAAACATCTCCGAATCCCCCTTTCCTTCATGTCACCCAAACATCTCCGAATCCCCCTTTCCTTCGTGTCACCCAAACATCTCCGAATCCCCCTTTCCTTCATGTCACCCCAAACATCTCCGAATCCCCCTTTCCTTCATGTCACCCAAACATCTCCGAATCCCCCCTTCCTTTGTGTCACCCAAACATCTCCGAATCCCCCTTTCCTTCATGTCACCCAAACATCTCCGAATCCCCCCTTCCTTCGTGTCACCCAAACATCTCCGAATCCCCCTTTCCTTCATGTCACCCAAACATCTCCGAATCCCCCCTTCCTTTGTGTCACCCAAACATCTCCGAATCCCCCTTTCCTTCATGTCACCCAAACATCTCCGAATCCCCCCTTCCTTCGTGTCACCCAAACATCTCCGAATCCCCCTTTCCTTCATGTCACCCAAACATCTCCGAATCCCCCCTTCCTTCATGTCACCCAAACATCTCCGAATCCCCCCTTCCTTTGTGTCACCCAAACATCTCCGAATCCCCTTTCCTTCATGTCACCCAAACATCTCCGAATCCCCCCTTCCTTCGTGTCACCCAAACATCTCCGAATCCCCCTTTCCTTTGTCACCCAAACATCTCCGAATCCCCCTTTCCTTTGTGTCACCCAAACATCTCCGAATCCCCCTTTCCTTCGTGTCACCCAAACATCTCCGAATCCCCCTTTCCTTCGTGTCACCCAAACATCTCCGAATCCCCCTTTCCTTCATGTCACCCAAACATCTCCGAATCCCCCCTTCCTTTGTGTCACCCAAACATCTCCGAATCCCCCTTTCCTTCGTGTCACCCAAACATCTCCGAATCCCCCTTTCCTTTGTGTCACCCAAACATCTCCGAATCCCCCTTCCTTCATGTCACCCAAACATCTCCGAATCCCCCTTTCCTTCGTGTCACCCAAACATCTCCGAATCCCCCTTCCTTTGTGTCACCCAAACATCTCCGAATCCCCCCTTCCTTTGTGTCACCCAAACATCTCCGAATCCCCCCTTCCTTCGTGTCACGCTTTCCTCCCGACGCCTCCATCACACGGAGCAGCTCAAGTGGCGTACTTCGGATCCTATCCATCTTCAGCCTACAGCTTTCAGCCAAACCTCTGGCACTGTTCTGCGGCACTGCTAAGCCTCGGATTATTTTCGCATATATATTCTCTCTGAACAAACGAATCCCTCGGAAGGCTTTCTATGCTCGGTTCTCTCCACTTATACAGTATGTCAGTGAACTGTCAGCCAACCGGGCCCCGGCTCCGGGATAAAGGTGACCCGCTACAAAACATGCCAGAAAGAACTCTGTCTAAAGGCTTAGAGTGAATAGTGATATTTTC